ACTTTCACATAGAAGTTGTTGATCCATTTGGAGTTCATTTTTTGTATATGATGTAAGTAAAAAAGTAAGTAAAGGCCCTCCCGTTGATCGTCGATTTGCTCGAGCGGGCCCAGTAACGTCTCCATTGGAGACTTTGTTGTTACTGTGTCTGGCATATCGAATACTCTCGGTAGCTTGCCGGGCTCTCCGAGAGGAGCGGAGGAATCGAACTCGGGTCGGCCATGTTGGCTGCGTGCAAGGCAGACGCCCTACCCGCTGTGCTATCGCTCCAGCCAAGGATAAATTTCCATTTTCAGTCCTTTGGCATCTGGATGTATAATTGTCCAAGCACCTTATGTTGAAATGACTGTGTCCCCCAACTCCAAATAAATCAGACTGGTATCTTGGTAAAAAGTAAAAAATCAACTGACTGGAGCCAGGAGATAGCTCACAGGGTTGCCATGCATACCTTGAATACAGAGGCCCTGGGTTCTATTCCTGACACCGCGTAGTTCCAGTTCCCCAAGTCCCGCTGGGTATAATGATTGATGGTGACTCCTGACCACTGCTGGGACAGCTCCTGACCACTGCCGGGAGTCCTCCTGACCACTGCCGGGAGTACCCCTGGCCACTGCTGGAATACCCTGACCTGCTGATTTCAGTTGGCCATAAGTGATTTTATTGTTGGGCCACACTCGGTGTTGCTCAGGGTTAAATCCTGGTGGTGTTTGGGGGATCATATGTGGGTTAGGGGTCAAACTGGGTTAGCTGTGTGCGAGGCAAGCACCTTGCCCCTGTACTATCTCTCTGGCCAACACAAATTTAAAAAAAAAAAACAGTATCTCTTTTGTTAATAGATCTATATTGAACCTCCTGCCAGATTAACTGTCTTAATCACTGTCTTGATCACTCTTACTTTGTCCTGGAACCATACCTGGTGAGGGGGTCACTCCTGGTGCAGTGCTCCTGGTGGTATACCAGGGGCCATGTGACGCGAGGACGGAGCCCAGGATGCCTGCAAAGCCCCTCCTCGTCCCCTAGAGCTGTTGCCTGGGGCCCTGAGCAGCTTCTGGAAACTGGATGTGTGAGTCCTCATCTTTCTCTTTCTAGTCCTGGGGACACGGATTTACCCTGGGTCCCTCTCAAAGGTCCAAGGAGAGCAGCTGGTTTTCAGTCCAGCTAGCTTTTTCTCTCGTGTTAGGATGGAGTAGCAACTTACGTGCAGATCCACGAGCTGCCATGAACAAATCCTTCATATTATATAAAGTTTGGGGGGGCATACCCAGCTGTATTCAGGGCTCATTCCTGGCTCTGTGCTCAGAGATCACGCCTGATGGTCTCTCGGACCATATGTGGTGCTGGGGATTGAACTGGGTCAGCTGTGGGCAAGGCAAGTGCCTAACCCACTGTCCTATTTATCTGGTCTCGCGTCTTACCTATTTTACTGGGAGAGCACTGGATACCTTGGGTGCAGAGTTAGAACAGAAGTGAAGATGCTGCCCTTGACATGGCCAACCCACCTTTGTCTGACTACCTGGGGCTCTGCCTTCTCCTCTGTAAGGTTTTTTTTGTTTCTGGGCCACACCCAGCGATGCTCAGGGGTTCCTCCTGGCTCTGCACTCAGGAATTACTCCTGGCGGTTCTCGGGGGACCATATGGGATGCTGGAGATCAAACTTGGTCGGCTGTGTGCAAAGCAAATGCCCTCCCTGCTGTGCGATCTCTCCAGCACTCTCCTCCCTCGGTTTTAAGCAGCGTCCTGCTCCGCAGTTGGCCACAAGGCAGCTCCTCCTGGAGAGGGTTGTGGCTCAGGTTATCCAAGAAAAGTCTCTACTTACAGTTGCTGAGAAACTGGGCCGGCTGGTATCAAGGCCCCTGGTGGGTGCTCCACCTCCTTCCTTCCTGCAGGCCGAGCCTCAGCCAATGACAAATCTGAATTCAAAAGTCCGCATCTGTGATCTCTTATTCCCAGCAACTTTGTAGTCTAGGGTGCAGGGCGTGGGGAACGGCGACCGGGCTGCCAGGTGGGGCCTGGGCCCAGGCTGACCGGGATGCCTCACTAGCCCCTCTCCTGCTGGGGCACGGCAGCTGGCTCCACACCAGGCTGAGGCCAGCTCAGAAAACTCAGCTTCCTATCAGGCTGGGTCGCCTCGCACCACCTCACAGATCTTGTCTCAGATTTCATCAAACAATTGAATGTCTAATTTTCAGCCTTCGGTTTGGATCAGGATTTCTCAGGCTTGGTGCTATTGCTGTTTGGATTCAGGCAATCCGTTTGTGTGTGTGTGCGTGTGTGTGCGTGTGTGTGTGTGTGCACGCGCGCGCGCACGCGTGCACACGTATGCATGCATTGTAGAAACTCATCTTGGGAAACTGGACATCAAACCCGTGTGTGTGTGTGTGCGTGCACGCGCGTGTGTGTGTGAGTGCACATGTATGCATGCATTGTAGAAACTCATCTTGGGAAACTGGACATCAAACCTGTGTGTGTGTGCACGTGTGTGAGCACATTGTGCATTGTAGTACCTCGTCTTGGGAAAGTGGACATCAAGCCCCTTTGAGTGGGTCCCCCAGGGGTCCAGGAGAGCTGGCCAGCTGACTCCCATAGCTCTTGTCTCTCTGCAGATACCGCTCAGACCACCCAGTGGGACCCCTAACCCCACCCAGTGCGAACGATGACGCCATGCTGAGCTTTCCCCCACGGAGAAAACGCCCTCGCCTGTGAAAAAACACACCTGAGGCCGAGTGAAGAAGTCGCTACAGTTTAATACAAACCTGCACCAGAACACGCGTGGGGCGGCTTGGATTTGCCTCCAATGGGTGGCCCAAGCACAGGACAGCGTGTCGCCCAGGGAGGCTTCCACACCGTCCGAGCACCATAACATTTACAGAGGAGTCTGGGAGTCAGCTGGGTGCTGGGCCGGGACCCCATGCCGCCCCCAGGCTGTGCCTGCCGCCCGGGGCAGCGGGAGGGGAGGGGGCTGGGGGGCTCCACGCGCAGGGGTTCTGGGAAAAGCCCTCGTGGCTCGACAGAGACCTACCGGGACTCCTAGCTCTACGCACACGCACACACACACACACACACACGCACACACAGTAGCACAATGTTCTGGGAACTGACCCCACAAACCTAGAGAGCAGCTAAGGCAAGAACAATAGTATTTATTCAGGAAGTACACACCGGTGGGAGCTGCATTCAGTGTGACCAGGGACCCTCCTCACGGCACGCAGGGGACGGAGGGGGTGGGGGGGCGGGTAGGGGACTGGTGGGGGGAGGCGGCCCCTCCTTGGGCTCCTTCGCCATCTAGATGCTCCTAGGCAGTGGGGAGGAGGTGGGGGGTGTCAATGCGAGGGTCCAGGTGGGGGTGGATGGACGGCAGGCCGGTGGTGGGCCATTCCCACACGTGGCCTCCAGTGCCACGGCCACGAGTCTCTCGGGCAGAGGCACTCAGAGGTAAAGCTTTTCCGGCGCACGCAGTCAGCCTCTGCCCGTGCTCACCACTGCTCTTTGGCATCTGCCCGGGGCCTGGGACCCAGCCGGGGCTGCAGGGGACCCGCGTGTTGGGTGTCACAGGCCCCCAGGCCACAGTGCCCACCGACGGCCCCGGGCAGCCACCGACCCGAGGCGAGGAAGAGGAGTGCGAGTGAAGGGAGGGGTGTGTGTGTGGGCGGGCAGCTCAGGCTGAGGACGGGGACCCCCCCCCCCCCCGGGGCCCAGGCACTGGCTCAGATGTAGCCATTACGTGCATCGCTCAGAGAAATCTGTGCAAAAACAGGCGGGCTGCCTGCCAGGGGAGTCAGGCTTCGGGGTGGCCAAATGCAGGGTGGGGTCGGGCAGAGGTGCCACCCCTCCATGGAGAGGTGGGGGGGGGCACGGTCCGGCTCCGAAGGGCACTCACGGATCTGTGTGGGGCCTGATGGTTGGGGGGCCCCCTAGGAATCTCGCAGACACACTGAGACACGCTGGCCACATGCAGGGGGGACTTGGGGCTCACCCCAAACATGGCGACAGGAACTTGCATGGCAGCATGCCCAGCCAGGATGCTGCTGAGGGCCACTGGAGGTGGGGGCAAGTGACCCGGACGTGAATCTTTCCATGGTCAACCCTGGGGGGGGGGCCCTCAGAGGCTGGCCCCTGGGCAGAGGGGGACCCCAAGCAGGCGAGAAGCTGCTCAGGGGGGCACCACAGCACTGGGCTGCCGGCGGGCTGGGTGCTGCAGGCCTGCTCCTCCCTGGCATATTTCGATCGCTCCCCCTCACCCCTACCTCCTCACCCCACTCCCCTCCATCACTCCCCCCTCATCCCGCTCCCCCTCTCCTAGCAGGCAAGAGCCCCCCTGCCAATCACACAGGAGGAGCGGGGCCTCAGTCCAGCCGGGGGGAGGTGACAGGAAGTGGGTGGGAGTGTGTGTGTGTGTGTGTGCATGTGTTGGGGGGGGGGGTCAGTGAGCTTGGCCCGAGAGGGCAGAGACCACCTGGTTTCTGGGGGTCCCCGGTTCCCCCTCACCGTGGAGGCATCTAGGGAAGGAGGGGCTGGGCTGGGGGAGGGGTGCCCCTGCCCAGCTCCCAGGCCCGTCTGGGCGGGGCCCCTCGTGCTGCGTCTCTAGGTCACGTCTACCCCCGTTTCTACGCTACGCTAGTGTCACAAAGCACCGTCAGTCTTCACAGGATGCACAGACAAGTCAAACCAAACCACCGCGCAAACCAAACGTGCAAAACAAAATCCTGTACACGCGCCTGGCCCGGCCGCCCTCCCGCCCGCGGGGAGCGTGGGGGCAGCCGGCCAAGGCGCAGAGGGTCCCCCGTCCCAGCCACACCCTGGGGGCGCCCCCCGACCCCCCCGGAAGGAAGACAGACATCCTGGGTGTGGCTCTCTCGGGCCTCCTTTTCCTTTCAAAGTGCTCTGGACAGCTGGCGGGGCAGCCAGGGGACAGGGCACTGGAGTCTGGGCAGGCGGAGGCCGGTGCAGGAGTGGGGGGTGGGGGTTGCCAGGCGGCGACAGGAAAGGGCCACGTGGGAGGAAGTCGTGTCCGAGTGCCTGTCGGGTGGGCTCGAAGCACAGTGACTCACATGGCAGTGGGGAGGGGCCCTGGGGTGGCGCCCCCGCCCCGCCTCTCCCGCCCACAGCTGCGGCCGGCCGGAGGGGGTGCGGGTTGGTGGAGCGGCGCGTCCTCTCTCGGGGGGGCCTGCTCGGCGCCTTTACCAGATGCCGCTGGACCTGCCCCCCGGGGGAGCGAGGATCCGAGCCGAGGCCCGCTTTGGAACGTGGTCGTCAATCTGAGAACCTGTGGGAAGAAGTGGGGGTGATCCGGGCTGCTGGGGGGGCAGGAGGGCGTAGAGGTGCCCTCACCCCTGCCGGAGCTGCCCAAGGGAGGTGCGCGTCCTGCGCAAGGGCCCCCGCCCCGTTGTACAGATGAGGAAACTGAGGCTCTGGGAAGTCCGGTGACTTAGCAAGCCTGGGTTTGAAGCCAGATCCTGGGCAGACGTTCCGAATGGCACAAGTCCTGGTCCTTCCTTCTGGGTGCCTGGACCCAGCCCGAGATGTCACCAAGGTGGCCTGGAGCCCTGAGTGTGGGGCTGTGATTCAGTCTGCCCCCGGGGAGGGACAGCGTGGGGGGAGGGGCGGAGTCACAGAGCCCCTAGGTCAACCTGGGCTCTGCCAAGGTCACAGGCCAGTGCAGGGTCAATAGTTCTGGGGTTCCTTCCGTTTTTCAGGGGGCTCTGCTGTGGGGACCTCCGGACCGGCAAGGCACCTGTGCACTTTGCTGAACACCCTGGTCCCAGTCTCCCGGTACTGGGTGGCCCCTGGGTGACAGTTCTCCTGTCCGGGAGTGTGGAGGGGTCACTCCTTATGGCTGTCACCTGTTTGGACAGGAAGTCTGGGTTCCCAGATCTGATCCGGGTACCCGGGGGCTCAGCAGGTGGCCCACAGAGGGCGGGAGGCCACTGTGTACACAGTCCCGTCTGTCTGCCCAGGAGGTGCCCACTCTTAGTGGAAGGGTGAGTCCGGGCAGCGGCTCGGCCACTCAGGGACACCCAGTCCACACCCCTGGATGGCCCGCCCATGGCAGTCTCTGTGGGGGCTGCCTGCAGGGCCGGGAGACAACTGAGGGCAGGAGGGCAGCACCCCTGACCCAGGGACTGCCAGGCTGATGCTCAAACCTTCATGCCAAACCTCAGATTGCTCAGGGCTGGGAGTGGCCTGGTGCTTGCTCCCTGGTACTTTCGGGGGGCCCCTATTTGTTTAGAGCAGCTGCCCGTGGGACCAGGGGTACTTATGGGCCGCCGAGCCTGGAGCTAAGGCGGTGATGGGATGAGGTGCTTAGATGGGGCTCCTGGAGGACCGCGAGAGGGTGACCCTGAGAAGCCGGGGTCGCCTCTGCAGCTCCTGCCAACGTTTCTGGGGACAAAAGCACCTGAGTTTGGGAGGTGGAACCTGGGACAGGGCGGCCCCCTGGGGACCCAGCGAGGAGGGGCCGGGGGCAGACTCTTACCGGAGAGGCTGAAGCTGGACTCGTGCAGGTCCCTCATGCCCCCGTGCCGGGTGACGGGCCGGGTCGGGGTGTCCGCGAGCGGCGTGCCCATCTCCTTCTTCCCAGGGTGCACCACGACTGCCACGTCGCCCAGGTAGGGGGTGCGGTCCACGCCCTTCACCTTCAGGGTCTGGGGAAGGTGGAGAAGGGGAGAGGAGAGGCCGCGGGGCATCAGAGCCGACACCTTGCCACAGACACGCCCCATCCTCAATTCCAGAACCCTCCAGCCCAGAGCACGCATGCACACGTGTGTGCATCCATGTGTCTCTGTGTGTGTGGGTCTGTCTGTGTCTGTGTGCCTATGTCTCTGTGTGGTGTGTGTGTCTCTGCCTGTGTCTCTGTGTGGGTGCTGTGTGTGTCTATTTGTGTCTATGTCTATGTTGTGTGTGTGCCTGTTTGTGTGTGTGTCTGTACCTGTGTCTCAGTGTGTGTATCTGTGTCTATGTCTGTGTTGTGTGTGTCTGTGTGTGTGTTTCTGGGCGTCTGTGTCTATGTCTCTGTGTTGTCTGTCTGTGTGTATTCTGTGCCTCTCTCTGTGTATTTGTGCTGTGTGTGTATCTGTGTCTGTCTGTGTTGCATATGTCTGTTTGTGTGTGCATCTCTGTGTATCTGTCTGTCTACGCACCTGTCTGTGTTGTGTGTGTGTGTGTGTGTTCACATACATGTGGATACAGAGGGGACCCCTGGCTGCCCCTCCAGCTGGGGAAATCCAACCCCCAGAGCCCCCTCAGAGGGAGCAGAGCCCCTTTCTCCCCTGCCAGGCCCCCTCAACCTCCCTCTCAACTTCATGGGGACAGAAGTAGAATTCAGCAGACTCAGCGAGCTTGCCACCCCACGGTGACCCCTAGCCGTCTGTGGTTAGTTTAAGCTCATTCTCAAAGCAGCAGAGGTGAGAGCCTGGAGGAGTGGCAGGACCTTTCTAGAGCCCTGATGTCGGGGCCCAGCGGGCAGCACCTTGGCCATCTCCCAGGGGGTGGGGACCCAACCCCTTGTCACAGGAGCTGCTTCTCTGCTCTTCCCCCGACCTGCAGTGACCAGGACAGCCTGGCCGGGAGATGCAGCGAGAGGAGCGTGTCCGCCCCGCCTCACCTTCTCCCTCTGCACCAGCTTCTTGTACACGGTGTCCGGGAAGGACCTCAGGGGACAGAACTTGCCAGTGCCCTCGGCGCACATGAAGACGCCGTTCTCGTACACGACGCGGCCCCGGCTGATGGTGACCAGCGGGACGCCATGGCAGCGCATGTTCTCATAGAGGTTGAAGTCGCCTCCCTGCACCTGGGTGCTGGCCGAGATGGTCCTGGGGGAGGCAGAGATGGGAGAGACCTAAGGAGGGGCGCAGGGGGTCACTGGGAAGGGGCGAGCCCCAAAGGCTGCCGGTTCCGAGCTGACACATGCCTCTGCCAAACTGCTGGAACCCTGAGACTCTTCCACCCAGGCCTGCAGTGGGAACGGGGCTGATTACAAGGGTGGTCACAGTGAAACGGGACCCACAGGGACAACATGACATTGGTTCTGGGGAGCGGTGGTTAGCATCGGTGTAACGTGGTGATGGTGGAGGTGGCGGGGGGGGGGGAACAGAGATATTCTTTATTTGTTTTTGCTTTTTGGGTCACACCCAGCGATTCACAGGGGTTCCTCCTGGCTCATGCACTCAGGAATTACTCCTGGCGGTGCTCGGGGGACCATGTGGGATGTTGGGAATCAAACCTGGGTCGGCCGCATGCAAGGCAAGCCCTACCCTCTGCGCTATAACTCCAGCCCCACGGGGCGGGGATTTTCTGTTCACTTGAAGGTAGAATTGAGGCTGGAGCGATAGTACAGTAGGTAAGGTACTTGCCTTGTCGGTAGCCAACCTGGTTTGGTCCCTTGCATCCCATACGGTCCCCTAAGCCCCCCCAGGAGTGAGTGATCCCTGAGCTCAGAGCCAGGACTAAGCTTCAAGCCAGGTGTGGTTCAGAACGAAAACAAAACAGAACAAAAACCAAGAAGGTAGATTTTGGGGATGGGGTTAGGGGTGACATGTTTTCTCTGAAAGGGGGCAGTAGGCCAAATTCGTTCAGGGGCCTTTGTTTTAAGAGCAGGAGATGGCAGAAGTGGCCGTGCACACACGGAGAACCGGGGACGTGGTGAGAAGACCAGAGAGCAAGTAGGCTGAGGACCCAGGAGCTCGGCTGGCCCCCGGGAAACTTTGGTGTGTCATCAGGCCCTGGTCTGGGGTCTTGGCTGAGCGGTGCTAGCCGAGTTGGCCATGGGGCTCAACTCTGCATGAGTTCCTTGACCATGCTGACCAGTAACAGCCTGGCACAGCTCCAGAGGCCGGCCCGGGCTATGGGACCCGACGGAGGAGGCGGGACAGTCCTGGCACAGGGCTCCTTCAACCAGGGCACCGAATCAAGTCTGCTGAGAGACTGAGACAGCTCACACTAGGAAACGAGTCCTTCCTGAGAAGGGAGCTGGGAGTAAGCACTGCCGGACAAGGCCCCCCAAAGAATTAATCCCCATCTGCCCCACGTCTCAGTGTAGAGAGGTGCAGCACCCCTGGCTGGTGGGAAGCCGAGGGCTGGCGTGGGAGGCCGAGGTGAGCGGTCAGGTTCGGCTTCTTCCTGTCTCCGGGCAGTGGGGTGTCCTCCTCTCTGCTGCAGTCCCTTCAAGGGCTCAATGGGCATAAGCCCTCTAACCCCACGCCCGCAGCCTTGGGGTCGGAGCAATAGTACAGCAGGGAGGGTGTCTGCCTTGCACACGGCTGGCCCGGGTTTGATCCTCTGAGCACTGCCAGGAGTGATCCCTGAGTGCAGAGCCAGGAGCAACCCCTGAGCACCACCAGGTGTGGCCCCAATTCCCCAGCCCCCAAACAGAAACAACAACAAAAAAACAAGAACTCTGACCCAAATCCACTCCCTCTTGGAATGCGAGAAAATGGCTGCAAGAAAACGGCCACGATACTAGTGAGGCCGGTGCAGGGAGCAGGACCGTGGGCCTCAACCTGCGGGTCAGCCAGGCCGCTGGAGCTGGGCCAGCTTGCATGCTCCAGCACGAACCCTGGGCCGCGGGAGTTCTGCACACAAGTTCCTAAAGACCCCAGCAGCCCCTGAAGACGCTGGGGCCCCCTAAAGACCCCGGAGACCCCTAAAGATGCCAGAGACCCCTAAAGATGCCAGAGACCCCTAAAGACCCCAGGTCCCCCTAAAGACTCCAGGGCTCCCTAAAGACCCCCTAAATACCCCAGGGGCCCCTAAAGACACCAGAGACCCCTAAAGATTCCAGGGGCCCCTAAAGACCCCCTAAAGACCCTGGAGGCCCCTAAATACCCCGAGGGGCCCATAAAGACCCCGGGACCCCCTAAAGGCCCCAGGGCCCTCTAAAGTCCCTGGGGTCCCCTATATACCCCAAGGGACCCTAAAGATGCCAGAGACCCCTAAAGACCCCAGAGCCCCCTAAGGACCCCAAGGCCCCCTAAAGACCCCAGGGCCCCCTAAAGACCCTGGGACGCCCTAAATACCCCAGGGGCCCCTAAAGACACCAGAGACCCCTAAAGACCCCCCCTAAAGACCCTGGAGGCCCCTAAAGACCCTGGAGGCCCCTAAAGACCCCAGAGACCCCTGGAAACCCCGGGGACCCCTAAAGACCCCAGGAGCCCTAAAGACCCTGGGACCGGTGACGTGCGGCAGGTCTTTACTTGGTGGCCTCTGGGTCCCACACCACCACGTCGGCGTCGGCTCCGGGGATGATGCGGCCCTTGCGGGGATACAGGTTGAGGATCTTCGCTGCATTGGAGCTGGTGACGGCCACAAAACGGTTCTCATCCATCTTGCCTCCCACCTGAAAGGAAGTGATGGCTGTGGGGCAGGGCGGGGGCACCTCGGGGCCTCAGCGCTCAGGTCTCTCTCCGTGCTACCTCCGGGTGCCACCCAGCCCCACCAGGTGCTCCCCCCTCCCATCCGTCATCCCAGGGGCTCTGTAGTGGGGTGAGTCTCGAGCACTTCCGATCTTCTTGTACCCACACTCTGCAGTGCGTGGCACCGTCCTAGGGCAATGCCCCAAATGCAGGTGTCAGGGCTGGGGTGGGGGTCCTGGCAGGTGGCATGTGAGAGGCCTGGGTTTGGCCCCCAGCACAACGGAAAATATAAAATAAAGAAGACTGAGAACTCTTCATCACGGGCACAACATGAAGCGATATCCAAATGCGTCCTGCGGCCCGAGAGACAGGGATGGGGTGAAGGCCCTTGGGTGCGTGGGGCCGACCCTGGTTTGACCCCCACACTGCATACTCCCCCGGAGAGCCAGGAGCAGCCCCTGAGCATCACTGGGTCTAACCCCAATCCCAAATGCTTCCCTGCAAAGAACAAATGAAGTCCTGCTCCCTGTTGTTTTTACTGAGAAGGAACTGGACTAAATAGAGTGACAGCCTTGGCCAGAGAAACAGCACAGCGGGGAGGGCGCTTGCCTTGTACGCAGACAATCTGGGTTTGATTCCCCGGCATCCCATAGGGTCCCCCGAGCACTGCCAGGAATGATTCCTGAGTGCAGAGGCAGGAGTAAGCCCTGAACACTCCCCCCCAAAAAAAAACAAAAGTAGAGCAATACCCTAAAAAATGGCCAAAACAGTCCTTGCTTGAGACAGTAAATTTGAGTGAGAAGATTTGAAATAGCTCAAGGCACCCAAGTTTGGGGGAGGACAATAAAGCGTGGTGTTTCCTTTGGGGGAAACATCCACTGAAAACAAACATGTTAAGAATGAATAAAAATAAATACGTTTGTAAGAATTTTTACCAGTACTGGAAGACAGGCAAAAAACCACTTATATTAAAAAAAAAAAAAAAGACAAACCCAGGCACAAAAATAACGTCTAGTACATCCACAGAACTACAGAGATAGAAGGAAGAGTCCCAAGTCTACGTGACATGGACCAGGAGGCAAAGGTACGTGTGAGGCTGTAAGGTTAACCCCATTGCTGCTTGTGTAAAGCTCCTGGCAGCTCCTTTTTTTTCCCTGCTTTTTTGGGTCACACCCAGCGATGCTCAGGGCTTACTACTGGCTTTGCACTCAGGAATTACTCCTGACAGTGCTGGGGGACCATATATATGGGGGATGCTGGGGATTGAACCCAGGTGGGCCACATGCAAGGCAAACGCCCGACCTGGTTCTCTCTCTCTCTTTTTTTTTTTTTAATGTAGGAGTACTGCTATTTATTCAGTCACTGATTAGCTGATTAAATTGGGCATGAACTCCACCCTGCTGTACTATGGTTCCGGCCCCTTGCTTGTTTGTTTTGGGGCCACACTTGGCGGTGCTCAGGACTCATTCCTGGCTCTGGGCTCAGGGATCACTCCTAGTAGTGCTCCAGGCAATAGTAGTGCTCCAGGGTGCCCGGGATTGAGCCCACGCGGGCCACGTGCATGGCAAACTCCTCGCTGGCTGTACTGTTTCAGTGGCCTTAGGAGCTCTTGAATCCGAGTCTGCAGCATAGTCTGGGACCCAAGGGCTGCCAAGTGCGCAAATCCTGAGGCATGACCACCGGGAACACAGCGGCAGGCGTGCACCCCTCACGAACACAGCAGTATCCGCAGAGAAAGCTCAGGGGTGCACATATGCACATGTGAAAAAAGTTCTCAACAGGGGGCCAGAGCGATAGTATAGCGGGTAGGGCACTTGCCTGGCACACAGTGGACCCCAGTTTGATTCCTGGCACCTTATATCGTTCCCCCAAGCCCCGCCAGAAGTGATTCCTGAGTGCAGGAACCCCTGAGCATCACTGGGTGTGGTCGCCACCACTCCAAACATGTCTTGATGCAAAAAATATAATTTTAAAAGTGTCTGTCCTGGGAACTGGAGTGATAGTACAGTGGGTAGGGCATTTGCCCTGCATGCGGCTGACCAGGGTTTGATTCCCAGCATCCCATATGGTCCCTCGAGCACTGCCGGGAGCAATTCCTGAGTGCATGAGTCAGGAGTAACCCCTGTGCATTGCTGGGTGTGACTCGAAAAGCAAAAAAAAAAAAAACACACAAAAAAAACCCCCCAAAAAACCAAAAAACAAAAAGTGTCTATCCTGGGCCTTATAATGTTTTTGATCACAAGAAAAGGCCAGGCAGCCTGCTGGGCTTCGTTTGGTGGGAAATGAGGTGCTTGCGGGGGATGGGGCGGGCGGGGGGGGGGGGGAAGAGGGGAGTCCACGTACCACTCCGCGCTCCCAGACCACGCTCATGCGGTCCTGCACGCCGCTGACGCCGTGCGGGATCTTGGTGAAGTCCTCCTTGCCCATGGCCTTCTGCTTGGTGGTGAAAGGCCGGTGGTCCGACGCCACGATGTTCAGAGTGTCACTGGCCAGAGAGAAGGCAGTGATGAGCCGCTTGGGGAGGGAGGAAAGACAGAAGCCTGCACAGGGAAGTCTCTGCCAGGGGTCCTCTCTGGGGGCCTCAGTTTGTCATCCTGAGAAATGGGAAGATAGGCTGGGTGTGGCCCAGACTATGGAGGCCAAACCGCTGGAGCTCTGCAGTGTTGACTTTGGTTTTCTTCCTTCCTTATTTTTTTATTTTGGGGCTAGGGGGGCACACTCAGCAGTGCTCAGGAGCTACTCCTGGCTCTGTGCTCAGGGATCACGCCTCATGATATTGAGGGGAGGGGAGCCTATGCGGTGTTCGGGAAGGAATCAGGGTTGGCTACGTGAGGCAAACGCCCCACGCTCTACCTTCCTGACCGCAGGGAGCAGCAGGGAGCAGGCTGTCAGGGTGAACAGAGGGAGCGTGAGCCCTGAGATCAGTTCTAAGTGTTGTCTCCCCCACCCCCCACTGGCCCCACTGGCCCCTGGCCCCAGCCTCCACTTGGGTAGCCTCTACTTTCAAACACCGAGAGCGGGCGAAGGAAAACCACACTCGAGTTTTGGGTTTAGACTATAAGCCAGGCTTACACTTTGGTTTAGAGAAAACAAGAGACGCCTTTTATGCCATGGAAGCTCTGCCAGGTTCACCTGACCCTGGAGGCCGGTCCCGAGCGTGCAGTCAGTGAGCTGATGGGAAACCGTCCAGAGCTCAGCCTGACCGAGCCATAGTCCTGCCCTTCCTCGGGCCTCAGCAACTTGGCCTGGGCACCCGGGGAGGCAGGTCCAGGGGCATGGGGGTCACATCTGTACAAGGCTGCCAGGGTGCGGGATGGCGAAGGCGGCTGGGCAGGGAGCAGTCGCCAGCCACGGCCCGCGGCCCCTGTGGGCGGCCCGAGAGGTAGTGAGCACGGAGCAGAGAAGGGCCCGTGGCAGGAAGCACCTTTGCAGGAGGGGTGAGGGCGCACAGGGAACAGGAGCACGCAGGGCTGGCCCTGGGTCCCCTGGCCTTGGATGCCCCCCACGTGGGTGGCTGGGGTGCAGCTGAGCGGAGGCCCCTGCAGGGCCCCAACAATGGACGTCTCTGGACGCCTGTGGCTTGCGGTTCTGTGCCCACACGGTGCCAAGACTCCTGGGCCGGGGCATAGACCAGGCAGGGGGCTGGCCCGCAGAGCAGAATGCCTGTTTTCGGGAAGCCCACAGGCTCCCCAGCCAGCAGAACCCATCAGGGACAGGCCCTTCCTCCTCAGGGTCTCCCGGACACAGGGGGACTGAGCTGGGAGGGGCACCCCCCAGAGTCAGGGGCCCCAGGAGCAACCCGCCCAACTCCAACTGCCGAATATGCCTGCTGTGACCCTCCATGGCCCTCGTGGGTTCTGGGGGCTGGGAAGGGGCCAGGAGGCAGAGCTGGACGAGGCACTGGGTGAGGGGCACAGCGAATGTCCCCATCCAGGCCTGTGTCTGGCAAAGAGGGGGGTTCCAAAGATGGGTCCCCTAGAAGCAGCAGCAACTGGTCCAGCAGGACAACTTCCCGGTTTGGGGTGGGGGGTGGAGGGAGGCCAGGGACCCCCGGGGGAGCCAAGGCAGGTGAGCGGGCAGGTGGCCGTGGGAACAGAAGGTCTCTGCACGGTGACCCCCCACCCCAACCCTGCCTGCTCCTACCCCTGGATGGGGGACGCAGTGCTGGAAGGAGGAGCACAGGGCGGAAGGGCAAGGACGGACGGGCAGGAGGGACAGGCAGGGAAGGGACAGGGGCTCTAGAACGATCCAGGGCGAGTAGGGGGGGAGCCTGGGTGCGACTGGGGGACGCTTCGCTCTTTGTTCACCTACCCACTTAATGCTGTTTATTCGGGAGTGGGGCGGAGTGACTCTTATTTTCCCTGAAAAGGGGGCGGTAGCTGAGTGAGTTAGGGGACGTCTGCTCTAGGATAAGGCAGAGGCCACCCCAGCAGCAGTTTCCCTGGGGGGCATTGGTGTCTGTCCCCATCGTCCTTGGAGACTGTCCATCCGCCCCTCCTTCACTCCGCTCCAAGTGGCCGGGGAGCTGGAGCAGAACCATCCCATGGGCTCCAGAAATCTAACCCTGGTGATGGGGTGGGGTAGATGGAGAGGGGCGACCCCCAGGACCACGTGCTCCCGATACCCCTTACTTGGCCAGCAGGCTCATGAGGTAGGTGGAGGTGTTGGTGTCGAGTCTCAGGGGTGGCACCGTGACGTAGGCGGCGGCGTGGGACCAGTCCTGGTGGTAGTAGTGCAGGCCCGTCAGCGTGGCGTGGGCCGTGGTGGTCTCGGCCAGCACCACCTTCCCTGCAAGGAGAGGGGCCCGCGGGTGAGGGCAGCAGGGGCCGGCTCGGGGCTCACGGTACCTCCTCTTCCTGCTGGGCCCAGGTGAGGGCGGTGGACAACGTGGGGGCCTGGAGACACGGCCACCACATCCTGCATGCAGCCGACCCCGGTTCGATCCTTGGGCATTACTGGGTGCAGCGCTGGGGGTCCCTGGGTACAGCCAGGGTGGCCTGGGGAGTCTCCTGCAACCCAGGCCTGAGCAGCTCCGTATCCTCAGCTGCCATAGTCCAGCAAGGAGGGCATCTACCCTGCACCCCATGGGGTCCCCCAAGCATCGTCAGAAGTGAGCCCTGAGTGTGGAGCCAGGAGTGGTCCAAAAACGAAACAAAAAGCAGCCCCGGAGTCACTGATTACCAATTGGGAGGCCCCCTCCCCCAAACACGCACACACACACACACACACACACACACACACACACACACACACACACAGAAAGGGCAGCACCACTGTTGCTGGAGCAGGAGGCCGGGACAGCTGGTGGCACCTGGAGGAAGGTGGAGCTGGGATGACTGAGTGGCTGCGGCCCGCAGGGGGCGCCCTTGGGCACAGGACGGCCACAGGGTGCTGCCGGTCGCCACTGCTGTTTGTCCAGGCCTGCCGGTGGCACCTTAGCAGGCATGTCAGTTACCAGGGAAAATCTGACACTCCACCCCCAGGGCTTGACCCTCCCATCAGTGTGTGGACGGGAGACTCGGCCCTGCCTCAGGGCACACCCTGCACGCCCCCCACCCCGGGACTCACCTTGCATCTTAGCAGCTGCGATCACGTCGCCGGCCGAGATGCTGGACACGCTGACCAGGTAGATGGGACAGTGAGTCTGGACAGGAGAGAGAAGTGTTGATGTCAGATGTACCAAACCGACAAGGGCCTCCCCTGCCCAGTGCCCCCCGGGGTGAGGGTCACAGGCAGAGGCCAGGGAGCCCACAAAGCCCAGGTGGAGGCCAGCCGCCCCCAATGCTACGCCAAGACTAGAACCGCAGAGCAGGGCTTCTTGCTCATGGAGGGGTTTCCCCTCCCTGTGGGCTCGGAGAGCCCCGAGTGGACGCCCCGTCTCAGGCCTCCACCTTCCGCTCCTGTCTAGCCCCACAGGCGCCGGGGGTGCCCGGGGCAGGGCGTCAGCAAGTGCGTGCCCGGACTCGCATCCCGCTGATCTTCCTCTCCACAGCCTCACGCCCGCACTCCCAGGCTCCACATCTGTGGGCATCTGTTTGAGCTAAACCCCGAGGAGCTTCCCTTGCGTGGTTCCGTCTTCCCTGGTCTAGGGGGCACTTCCCATCAGAAGGAACCCAGCGGCCCCAAGCCTGGTCGCCAGAACAGCCATGTCCCAGACAGGTGACCCGCTACCCCACGCACAGCTCCGCGGCTCTGCCTCTCAGACAAGGATGGAGCACGGGAGCTGGTTCGGCGGGCGGCACAGCGGGCACAGGCTTGGCTCCGAGGCCGGCTGGCCCTGCGTGCTCTTGTCTCTGCCAGCGCTGACCCCCACCCCACCCCCACCCTCGACCTTTGGGGCACAGCCTGGTCTTTCCAAGGAGAGGTGCTGCAGCTTCTGTGCTCAGACTCACTGATGGGGCGGGACGCAGGACAGTAGGAAAGGCACTTGCCGTGTACACAGCGGACCCAGGGGCCATCCCCGAGTCCCATCAGGAATGACCCCTGGGCACAGAGCCAAGAGTAAACCCTGAGCACAGCCGGGTATGACCCCAAAACAAACAACAACAAAACTGAAGCACAGATGGTCAGCTCAGAGGCCAGACAGACGGGCAGCTCAGAGGCCAGATGGACGGGCGGCTCCGAACCCTCTGCCATCCCGTTTCTGACTGGTCTGCCCTGGTCTGGTGAACCTATTTTTTTTTCCTTTTTGGGTCACACCCGGCGATCCGCAGGGGTTCCTCCTGGCTCATGCACTCAGGAATCACTCCTGGTGGTGCTCAGGGGACCATATGGGATGCTGGGAATCGAACCCGGCAAGGCAAACGCCCTACCCGCTGTGCTATTGTTCCAGCCCCTGGTGAACCTATTTGTCACAGGAGCCGTACCTGGCTGTGCTGGGGACAGCAAGGCCACACCCCGGGGTGATGGGCAGGGGCATGAGCAGCTGCTCCACCTGGGAACCCGGAAATGTGCCTTTCTGAGCGCCTGGCATTCAGCGTACGGCTGCTGGCCATGCATGCGTGCAGACCCGGGTCCTCGTGGCGGTTACTCAGAGGGCTGAGCAAGTCCCTCGGGCACAGAGAGGAGGTGGGAACCACCTGCCCATGGTTCAGGGGATTCTCAAGCACCTTTCTTTGGAGAGACAGGACAGGCATGGAGGCGCAGGCCTTGCACACGGCACCACACACGGTCCCCAGAGCATCCCTGGGTTCACCCCTGCACGCACAGCCAGGAGCAGCCACTGACTCCCATTGGATGTGGCTCTTCCTTCCCCGCGACTCCCCGCTCTTTAAAGAAAATTATTTTGCCGTTTATGGGGGCCACTACTGAGGCGCTCAGGGAATCACGTGGTGCTGGGGGCCAATCCCAGAGCTCAGCACACACTAGGCATGTAGTGACCACTGAGCCACACTCCCGGCCCCGCCGAGGCTCCGGCCTCCACTATCTGTGGTGAGTTTCCGCTTCAATTCCAGATGAGTCTCAGCGAGGCCGAGGGGCCTGTTTTCGGCAGAAAGCCTGTCGTGGGTAAATGCACCACGCCTCCGGCTCAGTCCCACCAGCGCCCTGCAAAGTGGGGCCCCATTGCCCCGATTCACCCAACCACCCCCCGGGAAGTTTCTGCATTGGCAAGGCTCGCTGTCCTGCTGGTCTCAAGGAGCCCAGTTCCAGGGGAGGGGGGTGGGAGGGGACCCCCTGTTATTCGACCCTCCTAGGGCACAAAGTGAGTTTCATTGGCTCTCTGGGTGTGCCGTGCAGAGCTGGGTGCAGAGGGGTAGCAGGGGAGCACGGCCGGGTCACTCAGCATGGGGACGACAGCCGGGTGGAGAGGGGCCCCGGGACAGGCTGGTCTCCAGGCCCAGGGAGGCGCGTGGGTGCTGGACGCAGGGGCTACTCACCCTGTTGGCGATGGTGATGACACGGTGCGTGGCTTCAGCTTCTAGCTGGCAGAAACAAGACAGGGGACAGTCACCCCCCCTTCCCGCGAGCATGCCCCTCTCTGCCCGATGCCCCTTCGGGGGGACCCGAGCTGAGGGCCCAGCAACTTCTGCCTGAGGGCGCCTGGGTCCGCCCCGCCTGCTTTCCCACGGACCCCTCCTCCCCTGTGCTTGGAGCACCGACGCCAACCCGGAAGCAAGCCCGGATGAGGGATGAGACCTCAGCACAACGGACATCAGGGGGCGACTCTGGGGGTGGGGAGCGGTATGGGCATGGTCAGGTCTTTGCCTCTTGCCTCTGGCTCTCTGGACGCCAGTGGTTAACACCACCGCCCCCCCCCCCCCCCAGCTGGAACAAGTCCTCGAGCCGGCCCATCCTCACCAAACGCCTTGGCAGCACGATTTCTTGGGGTCACCCTGTCCCCTCCCACAACACCCAAGCCAGCCTGCGCACCCCCCCCCCCACACACACACTCTGCTCCTGTCTCCCGGGATACTGATCGCGGGAAGGCATGTCCCTCACAGGGGCAGGAGAGAGGGGTGTTGGGCACGGTGGACCCAGAGCAGCGTCCTTCAGGGGCAGAATGGACAGTCGCCAAGCCGGGGTGGGCACTGAGACTCCTTTCCCCTGGGCAGGTCCAGATGCTTCCTTCAGGCAGGGGACCCCTCCCATCCCGCTAAAACACGGAGCCACTGGTCTGGGAGTCCTTCCCGCACCCCAGGGCCCTTTCTGCCTGACTGTTGTCTCAGATTCGGGGGGGAGGCAAACCCTGGGGTGCCAACATTGTCTCCTCCAAATTCCTTCCCAAGGAAGCACAGGGCCCAGTGGGCTTCATCTGGGAGGCGGGGTCCAGATGGGAAGTGCAGCCCGGGGCAGGGGGACCCAGGACAGTGCGTGTCCGCGGAGGCTTCCCTGCTGGCACGGGAGAGAAGCCAGGCAGTTCCCTCACCTCTTCGGGGCGGCTGATCTCGATTCCCTCCGGGCCCGTGATTCCCAAGTCGAGCGCCTCCTTGGCACCCTGTGTCACAGCAAGAGAAAGGAACTTGAGAGAGTCATGGGGGGCGGGGATGAGGGGAGCATGAGCCCACGGAGCAGGCAATGGGCTTGACATAGCCCACCCATGAGCGACTCAGCTTTCCTTGAAATCGGGACTGGGCACGCAGTCTGCAGGGAGGGGCCCAGATCTGCAGCCCAGCCCCCTGTGGGTCACGGCCAGGAGCGAGGCCATGCATGGAGCTGGGAGCGGTACCCGGGCGGCCCTCGGGAAACACAAGACACACTTCTGTCACTGGCCCACGAGGAGCAACCCGATGGTCTGCGGGCTGGACTCGCCCTGTCCTACCCCAGCTGGAAATTTAGCTGAGTCCCCAGCTGCCAGTGACACCTGCCAGTGACACCTGCTCGCCCTACTCCTATCTGAGACCACGGGGGCCCCCAGGGGCTGGTTTTCTTGGGAGGTGCAGGGAAGTGGAAGCTGGTTCTTATTTATCTTTACTTACTCTGAATGTCAGGTTTCATACATTCATGTATAAACACAACACCACACACACACACACACACACACACACACACGCACACACTCTTGGGCCAGGAAGTGCTTGGAGCCACACCAGCCATTGTTCCTGGTGCCTGGGGTCAGTGGTTTACAAGACAGGCTCCCCTGTACTATCTCTCCAGCCCTCGTGGCAGTATTTCTTAGCGGTGCTCCCAACTCTTGTGCTCTGAAGGAATGTATGGTGGTTTTTTTTTTTTTTTTTGCTTTTTGGGTCACACCCGGTGGTGCTCAGGGGTTACTCCTGGCTCAGGCACTCAGGAATTACTCCTGGCGGTGCGAAATGGTGGGATTCAAACCCAGGTCGGGCAACGCCCTACCCACTGTGCTATTGCTCCAGGACCTCTGGTAAAGATAAAGGTAAAGGTCCTCCCGTTGATCGTCGATTTGCTCGAGCGGGCCCAGTAACGTCTCCATTGGAGACTTTGTTGTTACTGTGTCTGGCATATCCAATACTCTCGGTAGCTTGCCGGGCTCTCCGAGAGGGGCGGAGGAATCGAACTCGGGTCGGCCATGTTGGCCGCATGTTGGCGAACGCCCTACCGCTGTGCTATCGCTCCAGCCCATCAGGACCTCTGAAGGAATGTAAATGTGTGTGTCTTCAGAGCGACAGCATCACCACAGGCCGAGAGACCTCTCTGGGTCTCAGGGGAGGGGCAGGTTTTCAGACAGAGGAAGGGCTTAATTCTGATAGTTGACAGTACACACGTGTCTGGTGTTACTCTCAATGACGGAAGTGTGTGTGTGTGTGTGTGTGTGTGTGTGTGCGCGCGCGCGTGTTGGGGGGTGTCAACTCCCCGCAGACCCCGTCTCCCGGCACCCCGGCCCCGTCCTCCGCTGCCTTGCCTCGGCCACCAGCTCCCCGTTCTCTGCATGCACCCGGGCGATGGCCCCGATGTCCTTGCAGGCGTGCAGCACTTGGTACAGCTCGCTGTCCCGCAGCATGTACAGGTCCTTGTAGGTCATGAACATCTGGAACGAGTTGACGCCCTTCTCCCTCACCAGCGTCTCCATTTCGGCTTTTACCTGGGGAACGAAACGCAGAGGTAGCGCCCCGTGAGGGGAAGGAAGCCAAGGAGTAGAGGCCGGCCCAGGGTACTGGTCACCAGGCAATCACTCGAGGCATGGGTGCAGAGCTGGCCGGCACCCGCAGAGGACCCAGCAAGGCCGGCTCTGCCACTAGGGAGCAGGTCTGCGTCAGCCTCACGGTCACACCCCAGGAGTGACTAGGACGCCCCGTAGCCTGTCTGCCCCCTTCTCTCACCCTAACGGAAGCTGAGCCGCAGGGAGGACCCCTCGGGCCGGAAATCCAGAGACCCTGGGGAAAGTCGCACTTTGGAGTAAAGTTGACGTGAACAAGGCCACGTGGACAGGCAGCGCTGCTCTGCCCTTACTCCTCTCAGGGGAACAAATGAACGCCAGTGGCTCTGGGCTGACAACAGGCAAGTTCATGGAGATGCACGCACAGGGGTGCCCGCTGCGGGAACAGCCACGACCTGATGTCGAAGACCTCGCAGACCAAGTGAACATGCTACCCCCAGTTCCCTTCAGGCAAGAGGAGCAACGGGGAAAGCGTGTGTGTAAAAAGATGAGCCAGAGCGACTGGACAGCAGGGAGGGCACTGGTCTTGCACGTGGCCAACCGGGTTCCATCCCTGGCACCCCATACGGCCCTCCAAACCCCGCCAGGAGTAATTCCTGAGTGCAGAGCCAGCAGTAAGCCCTGGGTACGACTGGGTATGGCCCCAAACCAAATATAAAAAAGCAAGAAAAAATAACGTGAAATCCCAGGTCTGATGACGGCCTGGTCTCAAAGCAGCTGAGGGGCTGCACGGAATGTCCATCTTGGGGCGGGGGCAGGGATGCATCCTCTCTGGGGACATGAAGAGGAGAAGGGTCATGGTCTCATGGTCACTGTGTGCCACCCCTTTGGTCTGGCACCAGTGGAGGAGTCCTTCATGGGTGAGGCACACCCAGGCCGGAAGTGATGGGAAGGAACGGTGAGCCCCGGGAGCACAGAAGCCCAGCGGGGCCCACCTGGAAACATGGGGACAGTGTGAGGGTTCTGGGGTCCCCAAGGCCTGGTGCCGGTGAGCCCTACACAAATGGGGAAAGAAGCCCAGAGGGGTGACGCCACACAGCTCCAGAAACAACGCCCAGCCCAGGGGCCTCGCTGTGGAGCAGTGGGGGACGAGTGAGGGATGTCACAGCCTGCGGCCAGGCTGGGACTCACTCTCGTCTGTCTGGGGTCCTCTGAGTCTGCGGGATGCTGACCCTTTCTATTAACGCCCACCCTGCTGTGAAATCCTCCGTGCTTTTCCCTTGGGTAACTGGGGGCGCTGGGCCTCACTCCAGCTGCCGGGGCTGGAAGGGGGCTCGCTGGGCCGGAGCCTGGGTTTGATCCCCGTCGGCCCCCGCGACAATAAATCCAAATAAAAAGGGTGTTGGGCGTTCTCCTGTCACCCCGTCCACGCACACCTGCTTACCTTGGGTGCCCACCAGGTGATTCCCACGTGGAGGGCGTAGTCACAGCAGACCTTGGGGTCGGCCAGCGCCCGGCACCTTTCGTAGGCATCCACAGGCGAGGCCTCCTTGTCGGGCAGGACCAGGCCCATGATCATGGTGGTGCCGCCCACCAGCGCCGCCTGCACAGACGGGAAAGCGTCAGTCCCTCCTCTCCCAGAGCCAACCACACATGAGGCTGGGGGCCCCCAAGGTCTGGTGGGGGTGGGGGGGTGTTGCAAGGGAGCTGTTGAGACGCACGGGAGCCAGCATCCTCCTTTATCCCTGAGAACCCCCGCACAGACACTTAACCCCAAGCCACCCAGACGCAGATGACTTGGAAGAGGGACATGGTGAGATACAGTATAACACAGTATAACCTAGGGCCTGGTGTCCACTGAACTGAGACTCGGGCACACACACACACTGATACTGTAACAAATGTTTATACCCTGGCAGGCACCAGGCACTTCTACTCAGAATGTTCCAGTTGTGGCTTCCCTGGGGCGCTTTGTCTCTGGTCCTTCAAGGGCATGGATTTCATGTCATTCCCTTTGTTCCAGACTGAGCACTTTTGAAATCCCGAAGTTATCCTGGGCACAAACCTCACCAAGGTACCACTTCAAAAGAAAGCATGAAAAGCTTCACTGAGGGGACCGGAGAACGGTCTGGCAGGGGAAGGCGCTTGCCTGTGTGAAAGTGTGAAAGGACCCGAGTTGCATCCCCAGCACTGCATATGGGCAACTCCCCTCCCCCCCGCCAGCAGTCAGGAGAGATTGCGGACCACCACCAAGTGGGGCCCTAAAATCAACAACAACAAAACGTCTCCTGGGTGGTCACATTCCTGGGAATGGCTGCTAAATGGGTCTAAAGACCCCCTCCCCCATCTCTTACTCTCTCTTCCCAAACTCACAATGAACAAAGGCTGTTCCAGGCAACAGCACTGTTCCTCAACAGAGTCTCGTTTGTTATGAAAAGCCTCTGGAAGGCTGTGACAGACCGGGACAGACTCCACCACTCAACAGAGCCCTCCTGCTGGGGAGACGCAGACTCCCCCCTACCCCCCCCCCACCAGCCCCTGCCTGCACCCCTGTGAGTGGGTGGGGCCTGTCCAGCTGGTTTCACCCCTTGGACGCTGACGTCCTTCCCCCAAGCTGGAAGCTGCACAAGTCAAGTGGAACGTCCTTTGAGGGAAGGACTCCGTGAAGAGTTTCCCTGGTGTGTGCTCGACCAGGCAGTTCGGCAGATTATCTCGGAGTGCGCAACAGTCCGTGGAATTATGCTGACGTTTTCAAGATTCTCTGTTCAGTTTAAACCCTTGATCACCACGTAGCAATACTGCAGGGGAACAAGGGACTGTCAGGAGACAATTAGCTCCACATCCAAATAGCCATTAAAAAGGGGAACGTCCACGTCTCCTGCGGACCCTGGCTGGACCAGGAGACCCCCACGCCCCCAGCACTGCTGTCGGGGAAAGCAGAGGTCCGGCTTCCTGCTAGGCTTCGAGCGGCCAGCAGAGGGCGGGCGTGCAGCACATACAGGGACTGTGCAGGGGCGCGGGAGCGAGGGAGGGGCGCGAGGGAGGGGCGCGGCAGATTGCAGCTTTACTCGCTGGCTTCTATTTCGGATTTTGCTGGGTTGTGCCAGGCTGATTCATCCACATAGCAGGTGGTTGTACTCTTGTTTTGTCCTGAAAGCATTTCTTGCTTTCACACGTGAACATGATGGTGTCTGATATATTACGATTTTACACACTTTTTTAGTTTTTCATCCGTCCGTCCACCCATCCACCTATCTTTCCAGTCACCATTCAATGATCCATTCTTCCACTCATCATCCATCTTCCATGCACAATATATTCTTTTTTTTTCTTTTTGGGTCACACCCAGCGATGCTCAGGTGTTACCCCTGGCACTGCGCTCAGGAATTACTCCTGGTGGTGCTCGGGGGACCATATGGGATGCTGGGGATCGAACTCAGGTTGGCCGCATGCAAGGCAAATGCCCTACCCACTATGCTATTGCTCTAGCCCCAACACATTCTTGAATCCATCCATCCATCCATCCATCCATCTACTCATCCTTTCACCCATCTATCCTTCTGACCATCCACCCATCCTCCCCTCTGTCAATTCATTCACCCACCCACCCTCCCATCCATCCATCCATCCATCTACTCATCCTTTCACCCATCTATCCTTCTGACCATCCACCCATCCTCCCCTCTGTCAATTCATTCACCCACCCACCCTCCCATCCATCCATCCATCCATCCTTCCATTCACTGATCCTTACATCCATCAGTCCATCCCCTCTCATCCATCCATCCATCCATCCATCCATCCATCCTTCCATTCACTCTCCCTGTCACAACCCACCCAGCCAGCCTCTCATCCACCCACCCACTCATCCATCCACCCACCCATCATCCATCCATCCATCCCGTGACACTCTGGCTTGGCTGTGTGGGCTTCACAGTTCAGTGCTTGGGCCCATGATGAGAGACTTGCCCAGGCCCAGTGCTCCTGGGGACGGGTCACCAGGGCCACACTTGCTGGTAGGCCCAAACCTGGGCCTCCAGCCTTTGAGTCTTCTCCCCAGCCCTACGTCACTTTACTGGTCACGGAGTTTCCCTTGGCCCTTCCCTCCCTGGACCCAAGTATGGGAGCTGAGGCATCGCTCGCTTGTCTGGGTGACGGAGAGAGGTTTTCACACCTGTGGGCGGGTGGTTAAAACCCACGGTTAAATGATGGGAACATATTTTTCATGGACAGATAGGACATTTCTGAAGACTGGTGCCTGTTCCCTGCAGTTGAAAATCACTGGACAAAATGGTTACAAGTTAGAGAGAGAGAAATTGAGAGAGGGAGGGAGGAGAGAGAGGGAGAGAGAGGGAGAGACAGGGGGAGAGAGAGGGAGAGAGGGAGAGAGGGAAAGAGCGAGGGAGAAAGAGAAGGAGAGGAAGAGAGGGAGAGAGAGAGAAAGAGAGAGGGAGAGAGGAGAGAGAGGGAGAGAGAGAGCAGCAGGCATGGTGCTTGCCTGGCCCTGGTTTGGTCCTGGCATTGCACAAGCTCCCCCAAGCTCACCAGGAATAACCTTTTTTTTCCTTTTTGGTCATATCCCATTGATGCTCAGGGATTACTCCTGGTCCTGCACTCAGGAATCACTCCTGGCAGTGCTCAGGGGACCATATGGGAGGCCGGGGTTAAAACCTAGGTTGGAGTGTGCAAGGCAAGTGCCCGGTTCGTTTACTATCACTCCAGCCCCCCCCCCCCCCGCCCGGAATAACTCCCGAGCACAAAGCTGGGATTAAATCTCCCAAGTCCCCGCATGACAGGGATGCATGTTCTGCGCCACGGACAGAGGTGCTGGCCCGAGCCCACGCATCCACTCACACTCATGGCCCCCAGGAGGAAGCATGCATGCGCATGCGTACACACACACACACACACACACACATATTCCCTCCTGTCCCCCGAGGGGACATCTGGCTTGCTTAGGACTTGGAAATGCTCAGTTATTTCTCAAAGTCCTGGGGCTCCCAAGTGGCCATCCTGGGACAGTGGGCTGTGGGCAGGCATAGCCCTATGAAGGAGGGACGCAAGTGGTCTGAAGCCCCAGTGTTGGATGGTGGTCCCTGCTGCCTGGGAGAGAGTTCTGGAAGGAGGCGGGAGCACACAGCTAGGCCAGACCCTCCCCCTGTCTTCATGGGAATGTGACGACAAGATGTGACAGACCTTATCAGTGCCATCGTTCACAAAGCAGAGGGAGCAATTTGCAGAGAGGACCCGGGCTGGCTGTAGGCAGTCTGGGGGGGGGGGTCGGCTCAGACCCAATTCAGAGGAAGTGGTGCGGGGGGGGGGGGGGGGGGCGCGGGGGGGGGGGGGGGAAGACCCAGTGAAAAGCCTGTTGAAACACAGACGTCCGCACAGGGAAACGGGAGGAAAATACCACATCAGCCCTGCCTGCTTGGGGTGAGTCTGAGTACTTTACTTTTTCCTAATTTCTCTTAGATTTACTTAATGGAACACATTACTTTTCTAATCAACATGTAAAATAAGCCTGCAGGAAGTGAACTCTCTTATTTATCTCTTAAAAACCTTTCTTTTTCTTTTGAGGGGTGGGGGCATCCCCAGCTGTGCTCAGGGATCACTCTATATGCTCAGGGTTCACTCCCGGTGGAGCTCAAGGGAGCCACATGGGGTGCCAGGAATTGAACCCAGGTCGTACGCATGCAAGGCAAACACGTTCCCCACTGTACGATCTCTCTGGCCCCCAAGAACCCTTTTAAATTTATGAAGCCACGCTTACGTGTTTCAAATATTTTCCTTTAGTGCAATGGACTATTTTAACCACACAGAGGGTAATTCAACACAAACCCGGAAAGCGCTCAACTCCTTGGGTGCTTTTGCATGAAATGTGAAACGAATGGGGCTGGCGGGAGCTCAAACATGGCCCAGCTCGGCATGTGCTCCGCGTGCTGGAGGCCTGGGCTTGATCCCTGGCTGCAACCCCTGAGCACTGAGCGGGGAATAACCTCCGAGCACCACTGGGTGTGGTCCCCAAACCAAGAGAAAATAAATAAATAAAACACACTAGTGGTATTCTGGGTGGTGCGACAGCACAGCGGGTAGGACGTTTGCCTTGCATGCGGCTGACCCAGGTTAGATTCCTCTGTCCCTCTCAGAGAGCCCGGCAAGCTACCGAGAGTATCCAGCCCACACGGCAGAGCCTGGTAAGCTCCCCGTGGTGTATTTGATATGTCAAAACAGTAACAAGTCTCACAATGGAGATGTTACTGGTGCCTGCACAAGCAAATTGATGAACAATGGGAGGACAGTGTTACAGTGGTATTTTACCGCCCTTGCTACACCTCCCGGGGCTGGTGAGTAAGCAGACTGCCCAGTGCTCACTCAAGCCCTGGTGATTATATACATAACTGGGCACCCAGCGAGGCTGCCCTCCTACTATGCAGCAGAATTCTTTGTGTGTGTGTGTGTGTGTGTGTGTGTGTGTGTGTATGTGTGTGTGTTGTGTTTTGATGGGAGGGGGTTTCTCTCAGTGATTCTTACCAACCAGGCCGGAGATTCAAGGTATGGGTTCAATGACATGGTGCTGCTTGGGCCCCGAGGTGCTAGGGGTGG